TGGGACACCCTGTAGGGATTTGAACTTTCGAAAGCCGTGTCCGCGGTTATGGGCAGATGGGAATTTGTTAATGTCTGGTTGTAGAAAACCTGAAGTTGATCTTAATTAAAATACATCAACCACGTGTGTAATCGTGATGGTCTCTTCTCGGCGGAGTCCGGAAAGTGAACACGGTGTTGGAGTTATGCTTGACGTAGGTTGATCTAGGATCACTTCTTGATCATAGTTTTATCGACCGTGCCTTGCCTTCTCTTCTTGCTCTCATTTGTGTATGTTTAACCACCATATATGCTAGTCGCTTGCTGCAGCTCCACCTCATACCTTTTACCTTACCCATAAGCTTAAATAGTCTTGATCGTGAGGGTGTGAGATTGCTGAGTCCCCGTGACTCGCAGATACTTCCAAAACCAGTTTGCAGGTGCCGATGTTACCAAGCAGATGACGCAACCAAGCTCAAGGAGGAGCTCGATGAAGATCTTGTCCTTTGTGTTGTTTCGTTCTAGTTGATCAGTAGTGGAGCTCAGTTGGGGTCGATCGGGAATCTGTGTAGCTTTTGGGGTAGTCTTCTTTTATTTTGGTTTCGTAGTCGGACCTTGATTGTATTTGGATGTTGTAATGCTTTATTCATGTATTGTGTGAAGTGACGATTGTAAGCCAACTATGTATCTCTTTCCCTTATGTATTACATGGGTTGTGTGAATATTACCTCACTTGCGACATTGCTTTCAATGCGGTTATGCCTCTAAGTCATGCTTCGACACGTGGGAGATATAGCCGCATCGAGGGTGTTACACCTTCAGTCAAGTTGTCAAACCTATCACCATTCGTCTGCTTCTGTCCTTGGCTGTTGCCAAAGGGTGGTCTCTGCATCAGCTTGATGTTTAGAATGCTTTCCTCCATGGGGCCTTGGAGGAAGAGGTTTACATTCGGGAACCTCGAGGTTTTATTGATCCTGCTCATCCACATCATTTGTCTCATCTTGTTAAGGCGCTTTATGGACTTAAGCAGGCTCCCCGTGCATGGCGTGCCCGACTTGGCTCGGTTCTTCGACGTCTTGGATTTGCTCCATCCACTGCTGACACATCTCTGTTCATGTTCCATCATCCTGAGGTTATTATGTACATGCTGTTTTATGTTGATGACATTGTTCTTATCAGCTCCTCAGTGATTGTTGTTAATCGTTTGATGTCTGCTTTGAGTGGTCATTTTGTTGGCAAGAATCTGGGTGCTCTCCATTACTTCCTTGGTCTGGAGGTTTCACGGTCTCCTTCTGGCCCGACTCTTACTCAGCATAAGTATTCTTTGGACTTGTTGTGGCGTGCTGGTATGTTGCGATGCAAGCATGCTACCACCCCTATGTCTGCGACTGATCGGTTATCAGCCTTGGATGGTGCCTTGCTTCCTTCAGATGATACTACAGAGTACCGCAGTATTGTTGGGGGGTTGCAGTACTTTACTATCACACGGTCGGACATCTCTTATGCGGTAAATCGTGTGTGCCAGTATCTTCATGCTCCTCGGACTTCACACTGGTCAGTTGTGAAGCGCGTACTGCGTTATCTCTCTCATATTGTCTCCTATGGTTTGCATCTTCGGTCTACCTCCTCAAGTGCCCTCTCGACATTCTCTGATGTTGATTGGGATGGAAGTCTGAATGATCGGTGATCAACGGGAGGCTATGTTGTCTTCTTTGGTCACAACTTGATCGCCTAGGGTGCGCGCAACCAGGCCACAGTTTCTCGGAGTAGCACTGAAGCAGAGTATAAGGCGGTTGCCAATGCCATGGGTGAGCTCATTTGGGTACAGTCTCTTTTGAGAGAGTTGGGAATCTCTTAAGAGCAGCCACCGGTTCTTTGGTGTGATAATATTGGTGCGACGTATCTTTCATCTAATTCAGTTTTTCGTGCTCGTACCAAGCACATCGAAATTGACTGTCACTTTGTGGGGAAACATGTTGCACAGAAGTTTCTTCATATCAAGTTCGTCTTCTCCAAAAATCAACTTGCTGATATCTTTACGACGCCACTTCCACAACCTCAGTTTAAAGGTTGTAGGCGCAATCTTAACTTACTTTGTATTTCATGTCACAGTTAAGATTGAGGGATGATGTTAGATAATGTCAGATGTAGCTTCTATGTATACCCCGTATATTGTATTATGTGTATCCTTATATATATATATATGAGATAACCACACTCGTATTTGATGCCGTGCATTTTCCCACAAAAAAAACGTTTCACAACCAGGACTACTATGGCGTAATCAGCCGCGCAGAGACGAATCGTGCGACAGCCGTTTTGGCCTGCTTGCGTGGTGTTGCACGATCTATGCGCGGCGGGCTGACCCCTCAGTCCATCAGTCATCCAGGTTAATAAAGAGATGGAGAGGCCGATGGGACATTTTCAGGGTCCAATTCACTGTGTACGACGCAAGACGCTCGTCGCGCGCGTGAGCACCTGGCCTGAGTCAGATGCAGTATCGGCTTGTAGCGTGCGTCAACATATTTCATCCCCGTCTAGACGGCCTGCCCCACGCAAACCCACTGCTTCCTTCCTGCTACTGCCACCGGTACACTCCATAGAGAGGAAAAAGGTCAAACGCCAAAACTAAATGAGCTGACCAAGTCCATGCGTAGAGTACTTGCACCGTTCACCAGCAGCGGCAGAGCCATGCCTGCACCGTGTACTGTTTACTCGTGCAGCTCTGAAGGTGCTCAAGTGCGTGCGTCTAGAGCTGCTCTGCGTAAAGCCTGGTCTGCCCATCAAATCATCTCACTGCGTCGGCTGTCATTGTTGCCATTAGTATCTTTGGCCCTGTTTGGACACACAGTTACGGCTTTTTTGGGTCACAGGATTTGTAAAACAAAGGAATAGAAAAAATAGAGGATTTGATTGCCATGCCATAGCCAATCCTATGAAATTTTCCAGAGATCGGACCTCATGTGTAAATTCCTCTGGAATCAGCACCTTGGAGTCCCAATCCTAAGGAATGTTAATGACCCAATCCTGTGACCCAAATGCGTTTCATAGGAAACAATCCCGAGGATTGATATCCCGTGAAAATCCTATGAAAATCCTCCAATCCAAAGAAGGCCTTAGAGTTAGAGTTATTTTCTAACCCACTCTAACCCAAATAAACACCTCTCCACCGAGATAGTTGGGTTAGATGGAACTAACCCACGCCTCCTTTGGTTTAGAGGAATTTTATAGGAATTCTAGAGGATAGGATTCTTATAGAATTTTTCCTTTAAAGCCCTTTGGTTCATAGGAATGGATTCCTATTCCTACATAGGATTGGTTCCTATCCTCCACATTTCATAGGAAAATAAAAAAAAGCGTAGACCCAATGGAAAAATTTCTTTGGTGTCAACCAAATGACATCTTGTTTCCTATTCCTACTCATAGGATTTGAGATACATGGTATCTTATTTCCTACAAGATTCCTATTTTTATGATAATCCTATCCTATGAACCAAAAAAGGCCTAACCCTTTCTGTTTGAATATTTTTGGGTTATTTGAGCTCCAAACTAACCCAAACTAGCTCTAACCCCATGATTCAAACAGGGCCTTTATTTTACTGCTCCGTTTGACCAAAGAAAAGCTACTGGCAGCAAGGAGTACTTTTGCTTGTGCAAGCACCCCATCGGCCGAGTGACTGCATACGTCATGATAAGGATGGCGAGTCGGGGAAAGATCTCCCTCGGAACTCGTGCAAAATCTCCCCAAGATCGCCCTGGCAGACGAATCCACAGGGCCCATGCCTGCATGCCGTAGCGTGTAGCGTAGGTGTAGCCAGCCGCAGCCGCCAGCCGGCCGGTCGTCGTAGGCAGGCGGCGACCTCGCAATGGAGCCAGCGGCCACGCACCGGGCAGTCGGCAGAGGCCATAAATTGGTGAGTTCGCCACATCGGTGCAAGAGACGCGAAGTTCAATGGCTCGCAGTCGCGGCCGGAGCTATTCTCCCGGCGGGATAGATAGCGACGACGACGACAACGCTGGCATGCATCAATGCATGCATACGCATGATGCATGGCACCCCAAAAAGCCTAGACAGGGAGTAAAGGTGGACGTGCCGTGCGTGCCGGCTGAGTGAGTGCATTTCAGGACACATTGTACATGCGTCCACGTAAATGGAGTAGTACCATACATGCACCGATGCATGCATGCATGCGTTATTCCACTTATTACCACCATCCAAAAACCGGAGATGCCCTATATCAACTCAGTTTGGAAGTAAATAGTGGCGTGAATCCACTCTTTGATGCTGGCATATACGCCATCACTGTGGCAGAAACACGGCCGGCCTCGCGCCAGCTAGTCGGGAGATCACGCCGTATCTCGAGATACGCCGCATAATCAAGGACTGCCACTTCCATTACGGTACTACTGAAGTACACGGTGCCGTAGTTATACTGTTGTCATCTCACCCGCGCCGTGGATCCAGTAAATGAACACACCGGCTACCTGCACAGCATTTGTTTACAGAGGGATGATGGAGAAGCGAGACAGACAGGCACGAAGGATGCTGCCAATGCCATGAATAACCCATTTAAGAGAAGAGATACGGCGCCGCGCCGGTCAAGAAAGGAGTAAAGGCCGGCACTCCTGTTTGCAGCAACAAAAGATTTGGTTCGCTGCTGGCCGCCGCTGTGCGTTGCATCATGCGTATGCATACCCCTCGTGGTGCTGGTGCATGCCAGGCGGCCAGCGGCGGCATGCTTCGCTCCAGGCGTCCATGCGTCACGCCACGATCCTGCCGCACCCGGTCCGTATCCGTATCTTGGATTCACCCTCGCCGAGATATCCCTCGGGGCCAGGGCCAGAGCGCGCGTGGCCGGTCAGCGATCCCGGCCTCCTCGTCTTCGCCTTTTCCGCCCCGCCGTCTCCTGTGCCGCGGCCTCGTCGCCCTCGGCTATATATAGGGGCAGGGTGGCGACGCTCTCCAAAGGCCTTTTCTTTCCCTTTCTCTCCCCAGTCCGAGCATAGTAGTCCTAGGTAGAGATGGCGAGCTTCAAGGGCCTTGTCGGCGAGGGGAGCGCGGCGCTGCCGCACGTCCTCGCCGTGGACGACAGCTCGGTCGACCGCGCCGTCATCTCCGGCATCCTCCGGAGCTCCAAGTTCCGCGGTGAGCAATCGACGAGATCACATCCCGTTTCGATCTCTTCTTCTTGTTCTTCTTGTCGTGGATTTGTGACGAGATGTGTGCGTGCATGTGATGTGCAGTGACCGCCGTGGACAGCGGGAAGAGGGCCCTGGAGCTTCTTGGCTCCGTATGTGATCTTCCTCGAACCTTAATTTGTCCCTTTTATTTCGGATATTTTTGTGCTTTTTGCATGTGTCTTAACTGTGTGTTCTTGGGCGTCGCAGGAGGCCAATGTGAGCATGATAATCACCGACTACTGGATGCCGGAGATGACGGGCTACGAGCTCCTCAAGAAGGTCAAGGTAATACATCACACGACATTCTTTTATTCCTTGCCAAACTCCATGATAAATCATGCATGTATAGGAATATGAATACTTGTTTGAGATGACGATGGAAATGTGATGGATGCATGCAGGGGTCGTCCAAGCTGAGGGAGATCCCCGTGGTGATCATGTCCTCGGAGAACGTGCCTACAAGGATCAACAGGTCAGTATCTATTCCATGCCATATTCCCTCCCATGCATGCCATATTCTTTCCTATTCGGTGGTAGCAGCTCTAGTAGCATGCATGCAGTTCGTTTTCCTGCTCGTTGACACGTTTCGGCTCCGTCAGGTGCCTGGAGGAGGGAGCCGAGGATTTCCTGCTGAAGCCCGTCCAGCCGTCCGACGTGTCGCGCCTCTGCAGCCGCGTCCTCCGCTGAGCGCCGCCTGGTCCGGTTGCACCGTCGGACGCCCCTGAACCGCACTACATGGCGTGCGGATTCAGCGTTTTGGCCTTCTGGAACATGGACGCATGCGTGGCAGTAGAGGAGTAGTATGATGGCCGTCAGTGTGCATGCATGCATGCAGCCTGTGTTTTGCTTCTGCTAAGTAGGATGTGCCCTGTTTCCCCCTGTTATGTAGCAGTCGACGTATATCTCTCTCAGTGTTCTGTGTTTCAGTCTCGTGGATCAGTGTTCAGTAAAAAAGGAAGTTTGCTTCAAGCTATTGTTTGTAATGGTACATGTTGAAGTTCACTTGTTCTTGCTGAAATTTTTTACTCCATCGTCACAGCGTTGGCCATTTTCATTTGTGCCCTTTGGATGGATTGTTGGGGAGATCGTCGATCAAACTCGGTACTGTCATGGCTCACGTGCGAGCATATTCATACGATGGAAGAGATCTAAATGGCGAATGAAAAGGGTGTCCGTAAGATCGTACATTTGATTGCTACTTTTGGTTCAAAGCTGTACTCTGCTTCTGAGTTATTTGATGCCAAATCTGTGGAAACAGGGCCTTAAGTACCGAGTAGGGAGCACTGCTGTACCGCTGTGCTGTTACGGAAGAGGATCTCCGTAGGATCGTGCATTTGATTGCCAGCATTATTAGTTGCTTCGATCTGTACTCTGTATCCGAGTTACTATTTGATGCCATTCGTGGCAACAGGGCCTCGTTAACGAGCAGGAGTACTAGGGTACCACTGTGACGGCACCTTATCATTTTTATTTTATTTTATTTTATTGCAGGGGTGACAGCACCTTATCAGGGTATACAAAGCGTGTCAGGATATCCAAAGCGTTCCATAGTTCTCCAGGTTCCATGTTTCAGGCTTAGCGTTGCTAGGCAAGTAACTTTGAAAGTTCAGTCACAATTTTTTCCACTCGCTTGTGCAACGAGGGCTGATTCTGTGTCACAACACGAAGTTCTGGATTAAATGAAACGGTTATTCTCTGATCCTTTGGCTTGGAGGCTTGGAGCCTTGAGCAAAATGTTTAGACACGTCCCTTTGTGTGCATTATCAAAATGGACTTTCATCTGCAGTCCTTTTTTCTATCTCTCCCGGCAGGTCTGCCAGTATGTTACTGTTGACAGAAAGTGATTTACTCGCCAGAGAGTACGCCTGAGATAGCATAACTGCTTCACCTTTATGTTAAAGTGACACAGGCCCATGTCTTTGCCGACTACTGAAAGAGGTTTGAGAGTACACACAAGCGTGCCACTTGGGCCAAAATCATTTTCTCAAAAAAAAAAACTTGGGCCAAAATCAGTGTTTTGACTCTTTTGAGAAACTTGAGCAAGATTTGACCCTACTTGTAAAAAAAAATCTAAATCTCCTACCGTCAGGGTTGATGACACTAGGATATAACTGCCTACTGCCGAGGCCCCTGGCGGTAGGGTTAACGGCAGCCACCGTCATCTGGTGGGTGGGCCTGACGTAGATTAATGTCCTACCGCCAGACATGCATGATTGGAGGGCGATAGGTATGTAAAACCTCACTGCCAAAGTGGGTGCCAGTAGGAAGGACCCCCCCCTAAAAAACCCCACAAACTTGTACTGTATCTAGGGAGGGGGGAAATTGTGCGTACGCAGTGCACCCTGCCGCCAGCCGTCCTCGTGGTAGGCTATGCAACCCTCCGTCAACGAGCCTGGCGGTAGGCGGGTATAGGTATTGACCCCAGACTCTCTCGTGATATGGCCATCAATTAACCTGCAGAAGGATTGGTAAGTAACCATGAAAGTGGCTACGAGAAAACACCAGCAAGTAGTTTACCTAGTGATATGCCAGGTTGTCCAGCTCGTTGGTGAAGGCCTTGTACAATACAGTGGCATTGTCTGTGAAGACTTTAACGATGTCCCAAGAGTATACTACGGTCAAGTATCGAGTATTGTCGCCTTCATTGCCATAATCTGTCCATGGACGCCGTCTAAGTTTCTCAGGATGACCCACCGGCAATCGCTCCCACATCGAAATCGAGAGGGCCCAGGCACATCCACACATACGAACGTAGCTCCAGTCCTCTTACATGCGTCATCCTGCTACAAATGCCAATTAATGATTAGATAACGCAATTCAAAGAAGCATACATACGTCCATAAACGAATATGGAGATAACTTCTTACCGAATGGTATAGGTACGCTAGGTCGGCAGACCCCCAGCTGTACCCTACGTCCCAGATGGACAGGAAGTCCAGATGCATCCATAGGGCAGTGTTCCCCGAGCAGTCTGGAAACATGACCTCTGTAAGGAGATACAGCAAGTAGGCCCTTACCTACTGCTCCACGGTCCGGGCGTCGGCATCTTGTGGGCATCCGGACTGGTTGGCAAAGAGCCATATTAGAGGTATACCGTATGTTTGATTATCCACCATGCCGTAGGCCTCATGACAGATGGAGGTGGGACAATCACCGATGAGGATGACAACCCTCTCCCGCCAGTTGTTCCTCCCCACTCGCCCAGTGAGAGCCCGTACCTGGAGCGGTAGGGCTGTGATCATGCCGAAGTCCTCGAGGGTCACTGTCATCTCACCACATGGGAGATGGTAACTATGCCTCTCGGGTCGCCAATGGTCTGCCAAGGCTGTGAGAGCTAAGTGGACGAGCGTGTGCGGCGCACGCTTGAACTAAAGCACAAATGGCAGCAGCCCAGCTCTCTTGAAGTATGGCTCGTAGTGGATGTCGTATGCATCTGGCATGCTTTCGCGTGACCCTTCATATGCAATGGTGGTAGCATCTGCCAAAATTTAGATGAAAAATAGTTAGTAACTTATTTTTGCAAAGCCAATTTTTTTGCAAGAACTTGACTATAGTCATTATCGCTCCATTCTCGATAAAACGTGTGCGATGATCGTTGTCGAACGCAGGGTCAAGCATGGTGTACTTAGTGCCGATGTTCGGATTAAGGGTTCTCCTAAAACAGTTGCCAGTTCAAGTTAAATTTTTGACAACAACATTTATTTATCGACATTCATTCTATATGCATATAATCCGCTAAATATAGTACTAACTAAACAAAAAATATAATCAAGTGATATCAACAACATTCAATCATCAAATATCAACATCATTCATTCAACAACATTCATTCATCATCAATATTGAATTATGCATTCTTCACTCTTGATTCTCCATTCATTCATCAAATATGCATATATGCATATGCAACATTTATCAACATTGGAATGTCCATCATATTCAAATATTCCAAATATAGCAGGGAAGTCTGAGTGTAATTTATCCTTGATCAAAATCCTTTGTGTTGTCCCGACCGGGGGCGCGCAAATGGTTAACTCCTACCAACCTCCTCCCTAGGGGCATGTGAGTAGTACTTTGCTTCGAGGGCTTTTCAATTTTCGCAATAAGTATATGAGTTCTTTATGACCAATGTGAGTTTGTAGACATAAGCACTCCCACCTATTCATAATTTGCTAGCCTCTTCGGTACCGTGCATTGCCCGTTCTCACCTCGAGAAGTGCTACAAACTTTGTCAATGCATCCAAATCCCATGATATGATATGCTCTATCACACATAAGCCTTATTATATCATTTCTCAATATAGCCACCATACCTACCTATTATGGCATTTCCATAACCATTCCGAGATATATTGCCATGCAACTTTCACCGTTACTATTCACATGACTTGAGTGTTCATTGTCATATTGCTTTGCATGATCATATAGAGCTGACATGATATTTGTGGCACAGCCACCGTTCATTATTGCTATACATGTTCTGTTAGATCATTGCACATCCTGATACACTAGGAGAGGCATTCATATAGAGTCATTTTTTAGTTTATCAAGTTGTAAGTAATTAAAAGTGTGATAACAATTATTAAAGCATCCTCCCAGTGAGGTAAAGAATGATGGAGACTATTGAGTCCACGAAAAAGTGGGGATGATGTTCATGATATTATTATAAAAATGAAAAAATGAGAGAAAAAGAGAGAAGGGGCATGCTACTATCCTTTTTCCACACTTGTGCTTTAAAGTAGCACCATGTTCTTCGTACAGATAGTTCCTTGATTTGTCACTTTCATATACTAGTGTGATTTTTTTACATTATATAATTTGGCTTGTATATTTCGATGACAAGCTTCCTCAAATGCTCGAGGTCTTCATGAGCAAGCAAGTTGGATGCACACCCACTTAGTTTCATATAGAGAGCTTTCATACATTTATAACTCTAGTGCATCCATTGCATGGCAAACCCTACTCCTCGCATTGATATCGATTGTAAGGCCTCTCCACTGCTTAACGATCCGCCGAGCCGATGCGAGACTCTGTCAAACTTTTTTCTTCCCGTACACACCTCTACCATCATTCTTTTTGCCACCCGTAGTGCTAAGTCCATGACTCACGCTCATGTATTGGGTGAGATTGAAAAATCTGAAGCAAGAAAAACTAAGATACAATTGCTTGGTTTGGCACCGGAGTGCTCGTGATTTATACTTTATGCTAGGAAGACCGAGTTATGCCATGCTTACATTATTAAATGAGTAGGGATAACATTCTTTAGTGTTCTTTTGAAGAGTAATGATTACTTTCTAGCATTCATACATATTATCACTTTTGATATCGAACAAATCATCGCTTCCCAATATTTGTACTGTAAAATAATTACATGATAAGACGTGTTAGGTAGCATTCCACATCAAAATTTCTGTTGTTACCTAGTCAAGGATGAGGAATTAAGCTTGGGGATGCTGATATGTCTCCAACGTATCTACAGTTTTTTATTACTTCATGCTACTATATTACCAATTTTGTATACTTTATATGGAATTTTATATCCTTTTCTGGAACTAACCTATTAGCCTAGTGCCTAGTGCCAATTTATGTTTCTGCCTATTTCTTTGTTTTGCAGAAAAACAATACCAAAGGAAGTCCAAACACGATGAAACTTTACGGTGATTTTTTCTTGACCAGAAGAGACCCTA